GAAGCCATCGGCAGCCAGGGTTCCCACCTCTCCAAGCTGCTCTCACACCCTCTGCAGCTCCCCAAGATGCTTTCAAGTAAGTCAGCACTATGTGCAATCTTGCAATCACAATTACACTTGAGAGCATCCACTAAGCAAGGACTTGGGTGGGAGGAGGCAGGGCTGGAGGGCGGCTCTCTGGGTCCACCTGGGATACAAGCAGTTGGAGGTGGAGCCTGCCTCTCCTCCTGAGCTCAGCTCTGGCTGTCCTTTCTGGGTTTGCCGAGGGAATGATTTGAATGGGTGCTTGTCTGGTCCTGGGGGAGCATGAAAGACTCCAGGACAGAGGGACCTTGCTGTGACAGCAGCAGTGGCGGTGGCAGTACTGGACCAGCCTCCCACAGAAGCTAAGAGCAGAGATGAGAAAGGGGCTTGCTTGCCTTACGTGTCACATCATATTTTCCGTTCTTAGACAAACAAAACAAAACCAGCGCACGCACGGCCTCCCCAGCATCATCAGCTCGTAAACCCATCAGAATTCACAGCCAGCCAACAAACCCAGACATGGGTAATGCCATTAAGAAGCCTGTACAGCACCAGATGCCAGGAGGGCCTTGGTGAGTGCAGAGCCTGGAAGCTCTGCTGTGTCTGCAGACTCACAGACTCCTTGCCCTGCTCAGAAGGAAGCACCAGGAACACAGAGTCTGCGGCGGCTCTCACGCAGTTTTAAAGAAAGGGGTCATGGGGGAGATACACCCAACCACAGAGCTACACAGGCTGTGAGCTGCTGTTGAGGTTCTGATGCCAGTATTAAAACAATCTGTCAGGGAGAATGTGGAATCCAAACCAGAGCATAATCAGGTGGCCACGGCCTGCCTTATCAACACGATCTTGAGTCTACTATGCTCTAGTCACTGGGAGAGCTAAGGTAAGGCTCACCCTCAGCCTCCTATTACCTGACAACTCAGGTCCAGACCCGAAGGGCTCAACTCCTCTGGAGGCAGCCCCCTGAGCCGTGCACCTCTTTCCGAGTTGGATACGGAGTCCCTGATACCACACCAAACTTTGATGCTCCCCATGAGTCAGACAGGGCTACTTGGTGTGCGTTTTTCTATTTAAAGATCAGACAGGGCTTACACGCAGACACCATTCAAGCCTGTAGCTTCTAAGAACTGGGTGCTAAATCCGGTCTCTCCGGCCCTCACTTTCCATCAACACAGGAGATGTTCTTGTTGACAACCGAGGATTCTTTTTTCCACTGCCAGCTGCACAGGAAGGAAGGAGCGGCAATGGGGGAGCTGCCTGGCCCCCGGGCTGGGCTTTGGAGGGGTCAACATCACCAACTCCCTCTCTGAATCCATGCCAGGGTGAGAGGAGATGGCGATGCTCACCCACCGTTCTTAGAATCCCATTTGGAACCAGCTGTGCTGAGTGGCAGTCCCAAGCCAATAGGGGTGTCGGAAGATGGGCACGGGACACACCTGCAGGACCAGTCCACCTGAAGCCAGCTGGGAGATGAGTCTGTTGACATCATCCTCTTGAAATCTTGGTGGAGGGACAAAACATCCCCACGCTGAGTGCCCATTTTCAGAGGATTAAGGACTAGTCAGTCAGAAAGCCAGGCAGCCTGTAGCCAGAGCTCTGCCCACTGGGGGGCACGTGAGCGGCTCTAAATTTCCTCCTTTCCTTGGGGCGACCACGCTCTAGGAAAGCAGCCTATTCGTGCTCTAGCAATCACAGGCAAAACTGGAAGTGCAGCGCCACACCGGCCCCGGCCCCCAGAGGAAGACAGGAGCTGGGCTACTCGGGAGAGGAGCTGTGCACCCTAACTCTGCTCAGACAGGACAGGACAGGCCTCTCCCTGCAGCTCTCCCTCTATCCCAGCTTTTCGAAGAGAAAGCAAACAGACCCTTGACCAGATGGAGCCTTCCTCGCTAATAAACCTAGCCTAAGGCTGAGACATGTGCAAGAAGAAGCAGAAAATTACCTTTCAGGAAGCCAACGTGAGGTAAGGGAGGGGGCACACAGTACCAGGGCTGGAGCCTCCCGCAGCAGGAGCTGGCTGGGGCCCCGTTCAGCAGCCCCATCCTGTCGACTCTGCCGGCTGCCCATGTGCAGGTCTCAGAGAGCCGCCCCCAGCCTGTAGCGCTACAGGCAGCTCATGGCTGGAAGTGGCAGCACACCGTCCCCTGGCTGCCTGAGGAGCCACCAGGAGGGACAGCGAGGCAAAGAGGAAGGCAAGCGGGAGAGGAAGGGGTGGGGAGTGGAGCGGGAGGGCGGGAAGGAGGGAGAATTGATTCTCTCTCCTCCACTGGGACCACTGAGCTAAGTTGCCATGGAGAAAGAGGAGCCGCTGGCAGAGCTCAAGGCGGGCGGAGGAGCCATATGCCAGGGGAAGGCGTCAGCAGAGCCAATCCCACAGTTCTGCTGTGGCAACCTCCCCAAACAGGCCTTGGCCTGTGCACCAAGGCAGGGTGGGGCATGGCTGGACGGTGGGCGAAAACAGCCCTCCACTACAGCCACCCTGAGGAAGAGGGAGGCCCAGAAAGCTTTCCTTCTCTTAGGTTTGCTCATCGATCTTCAGCTGGGACCCTGGACCTGCCTCTTCATGCCTCTGACCTCATACTGCTCACTCAGAACCCAAGGTCAAAATCCCGGGAACAGAGACCTAGTCCCCTCCCCAGGCTTTTTAGAAGCACTGCTTCTCCTTGCCTCCTGTTTCTAAAACTCAGCCACCAAACCCTGAGTCATAGTTTCCCACCCTCAGGAAGGAGGGGATGCCCACCCACAGGAAGGCTTCTGTGGCCCAGAGCCACCCAGGCAGGAAGCCAAGATGGGAGGCTGCTGGGCACCTGCTGGTTAGAGAAGGGACCAGATCATGGGCACCCTGGACCAGGCCTACGTTGGGCTGCATCTCCCACCTGCACACTACCAACCTTGCAACTGCTGTGCAAACCCCACTGCAGGGTTGGCTTTGGCCCCAGCCTCACGCATGCACGCAGGCAGTCAGGCTTTGTGCTGCCGAGGTGCTGGGGGAACGCAGGAGCCTGGGCTGGAGTCTGCTTCTCCCTTTGGAGCTCATGGGGCCATTGCAAGTCTGGTCACATCTCTGTGCTTTCATTTTCTTGGTACAAACCGAGACAAGAGCATTTTCAATACCAAGCTGCTCTTCTGGGGCACCGTGATGCGGGCAGACTTAGGGAAGGCTGAGGCTGTGGACGCTGCGTCCCTTCCTGCTCGATTTGGAAGCATGGGGGCAGCATCCAGCGCCCTGCCTCCCCTGTGCACTTGGCTGGCAAACCTCAGGACAGAGCCTGGAGTCAACAGCAGTGCCCCCAGGCCTGCTGCTCCTGAGGGACATCTGAGGGCTACTGTACCCAACCTTGCCTCTGAAGCCTGTAGCTAAGGAAACATTTCTTTTCTTCCTAGCCTCCCCCTACACAACAATTTGTTATGAAAATGTCCCTGCATATGAATAAGTCAGAAAAATGTTATAAGGAGCACATACATATATTCACTACCCAGATTTCTACTGTTTCCTCTCACTTTCCTAGTGTAAAATACAGCACAGAATTTACCATTTTCATCCATGCAGAGCACACACTGGAGTGGCATGAAGTCTATCCACAGTGCGGTACACCCACCACCCTATCTAGCTGCAGACATCTGCATCACCTGAAAGGCTCACACGGGAGAGCCATGCCATTACTGCTTCTCTCTAGCTCCTGACCAGCACTAATCTACTGTCCACAAACAGGCTTGCTCTCGGTGTTTCATACACATGGAACCTTCTGGACTGCCTTCTTTCCCTTCCCATCATGTTCTCAGAGTCCACACAGTGTCGTGACCTATACAGTTGCTTCATTCCTTCACGGCAGAGTAATATTCTATTGATCAGAGAGAGCTCACTGTACACATCTACTCACCACAGGATGGCCATGTGGGTTATTTCTACACTTGGGTTATCCTCTTATTCTTCCCCTCAGAACCCAAGGAAGGGTTCTAGGCATTTAGTCTCTAAGCTACAAGCCCCCAGAGACCCTAAACTGAATGTTTAGTCACTTGACTTTCCAATCAGCAAAGCTCACCCATGTCTGACATGGGGATGAAGGCAGAAGACTCCAAGTGGCCTCAGTTGCCGCTGTCCCAGGGAAGGGGCCAGCTGGGCAGGAGGACTCACAAGTGCCCCACTCCATACCTCTGACAGATGAAGCCAGGTCCCAGCGCCACTGGCATTCCCCTCTTTAGCCTCTCAGGTCTCTATCTCATGGGGCTGCTTCATAGACAAGGCCAGTGCTGCCCAATGGAACTCTCCATGAGGATGGCCACACTCTTCCTCCACCAGCCAAGGCAGCTGTTGCTACCCCACAGGCCTAGGTGGCCACTGAGACTCAAAATGTGGCTAGTGTCAGTGGGAAATGGAATCTTCCATTTTGTTTCACTTTTGTTTACAACTGAAATTGAAGGTTCACATGGAGCTGTGGCGATTGCTGTAAGGGCCGAAGAAACAAATGGCCTAGCTCCTCGACCTCATCTTTCCCCTTCCTCTCTCCACTTACCTCAGCTGTCTGGGCGTTGGGCGGCTTCTATCTGCAACCTGGACCAGGGCCTATCTAGAAGGACAGTGGGTACGTGGTGGGGCTCTCAGGGAACCAAACAGATAGCAGCTGGGGAGCCGGCTCCTCAGACGCCATAATGACAAGAGCCACTGAACCTCAGACCTGGACCCTCCTCTCTGCCCTGTTCTAGAACCACTCCCTTCCCTGTCTCCCCCAGCAACTCCTGAGGTCATCCCCGGAATGTGTGAGCAGGGGCTGTGGGATTGGAACTTGCCTACCATCTCCATGCAGGAGCAGAACCCTGGGTGGTTATGCAGAGAGTACAACCTTGGTGCCAGGCTAGGCTGAGGGTCAGGGGCTCAGGGACACCATCCCCCACACACAGTTGCTCTTCTGGTCTATAGGTGGTCTCACGTGATCCCAGACCACACGCTGATCCTGCCTTCTCCCTCTGCAGATGCATGAGGACACACTCAGAAGGTGAAATGACTTTCCCAGGCTCGGCCAGCAAGGCTGGTCCCAGGCCCACGGCCGCCCTGGCATGGATAGTTGCACAAGCTCACTCTCCTGGGACCTCCAGGGCTGGCCAGGCAAAGAGCTATTTGTCCCCAAGTCCAGACAGCAAAGATGAGAAATAGGAGTACACCATTGCTCTCCTGTTCCCAGTCACTTGAACGTACCATGTGAGATGACAGTAAGGTGGCCATGAAGACTCATGGGGCAACTTTAAACATAGCCATGAGCACAGTTGGCTTCAATTTCTGTGTTTCCACATCCAGAGGCAACTGACCACAGAATGAAATGAGGAAGAAGCACTGTACTGAGTATGTGCAGATGTCTTTCCTGCCGTTATCCCCTGAACGGTGTGTGTGTGTGTGTGTGGGGGGGGTGTCTTTGTGGGAAGGTGCAGTGTGAAAGTTCCTCACATGGCTCTACAGAGTGTTCGGCACTACGAATAACCTAGAAAGTAAGTTAGGTGCACAGGAGGACATGCCCAGGTCATATGCAGTACTCTGCCTTCTACACAAGGCAATGGCACACTCTGGTAGAACCAATGCCTTCAGACACGGAGGAGCGACTGTCAAGCTCTCAGACTCCTGTTGTCCTGTCTTGAGCTGGCAGGCCTGTTGCTGAGGACAGGCCTGTTCCCTTCCTGCAAAGCTCTTCCTTGCCTCCCAGCTTCCCACGCTCCTGTAGCCGAAGGCCCAGGGGACCCACCACAAACTGGTAGGGACACCTTGCCTCCCACATCTCAAAATCCCAAGTGGCCCCCCTGCTTTATCCCTGTTGTCCAGACGGGGGTCCACCTCTTCCCCAGGGCATTTGCACTCACACAGTCTCCTCTTGCTAGCCTCTGCTCAGGTCCAGTCCCTTCGGGCCTTCTGACCACTTACTCAGTTAACCCTGACTCCTGTCCTGGCAGTCCCTTGGTCCTCTCACTTCTTCATACATCAGCCCTCCCCTAACACCTGATGTACTCCTTGCTGGTTTTCTTTTCCAATGGTGGTAAACGTTAACGTTTGTTACCCCAATAGCTTGCGATGCTCGGTTCAGTGGTGTTAAGAGCATTAGCACGGCTCTGCAGCCCTCACCACCATCTCCATAGCCTTTCATCTCCTAAACACGAACTCCCCTCCCCAGCCCACTCTGGTACCCTCCGGTTTCCTTCTGTCTCTATGGCTCTGACTCCAGTGACCACTTGGTAGCGTCATTACAGCATGGAATTACCCCACTGTCCTTCTGTGCTTGACTTCTTTCCCTCAGCAGTCCACCCATGCTGCGGCATGCTCCTTTCCACAACTGTCTGTCATGCTGGGTGGGGTAGCACATGCTTTTGTTCTCAGAACTTGGAATTTAATCTAGTAGGCAGATCTCTGTTAGTTCGAAGCCAGCCTGGTCTACAGATCAAGCTCCAGCACCTCCAGGGCTACATAGAGAAATCCTGTCTCGAAAGACCAAAACCAACCGAATAAAAGAAGCAATTGTCTGTCTCACTTGCTAGAATGGAGGTTTCTAGGACGGTTGTATTCACTGTTGTATCGCAGGGTATGTGTGTAAGAATACCTGGTACACAGCCAGGCGGTGGTGGTACACACCTTTGATCCCAGCACTTGGGAGGCAGAGGCAGGGGAATCTCTGCGAGTTTGAGGCCAGCCTGGTCTACAGAGTGAGTTCCAGGATAGCCAGGGCTACACAGAGAAACCCTGTCTCGAAAAACAACAACAACAACAACAACAACAAAACAAAAACAAAAATAACCAACCAAGGCGGAAGTGCGGGGGCTTCCGGTTGGCGTCGTACGCGTGGAGTGCGCGGTCAGTCGTGTTTCTCAGGTAAAGCATGGCTAAAAGCTTACGGAGTAAGTGGAAACGGAAGATGCGGGCAGAGAAGAGAAAGAAGAATGCCCCACGGGAGCTCAACAGACTTAAAAGTATTCTCAGAGTTGACGGTGATGCTCTGATGAAGGATGTCGAGGACATAGCAACTGTGGTGGTCCCCAAACAGTGCCAGGGGAAAATGCAGTGTACGGTGGACGATGAAAAGGAAGACACAAAAATGGAGACTGAACTGAAGAGAAACAAGAAGACCCTTCTAGACCAGCATGGACAGTACCCAGTGTGGATGAACCAGAGGCAGAGGAAAAGACTGAAGGCAAAGAGAGAGAAAAAACGGGGGAAAAGCAGAGCCAAGGCAGCGAAGGGCCTGGCCTGGTAGACCCTTGAGAACTGGAAAGTGGTGGTGCACGTGCCTTTAATCCCAGCCCGCAGGAGTCAGACAAGCAGAGCTCCGTGAGTTCGAGGCCAGCCTGGTCTACAAAGCAGGTGCCAGGACAGCCTGGACTGTTACACAGAGAAACCTTGTCTCAAAAAATCACAAAAAAAAAAAAAAAAAAAAAAGAAAGAAAAACTGGAAAGTGTTCATGGGAAAGAAGTTCAGTTGTTAGGAATGTCTTCACTGATTTCAGCTCTCACTAAATGGAAGCGATTTGTTTTCATATTTTAGTTTGGTCTTATATCTGTAATTCAAATCCAGAATAATTGATTTGTTTTGGGAACTTGAATAAATTACCTTCCGTGATGAAAGAAAAAAAAAAAAAAAAAAAAAAAAAAAATAACCAACCAAGCCAACAAAAAAGAATACCTGGTACCAACAGGCACTGAGGAAGTGTTTTGAACGGATGAGTAACGGGTGAGTACACAGGCAGACGGATGAATGAATGGACAGACAGGTGAATGGGAAACAGATGGCTGGCTGGATGGCTGAATGAATGACAGACAGATAGATGGAGAAGCTGCAGAGTTAGTGCCTCGTTTTACAGGTCTGTGCCAGGCCCAGAGTTATATGCAGACTTAATTCCTGGTCCTACCCAATGATGTAGCCATTTGTCCTGAAGCCCAAGCCCACCACCCCTAAGGTGTGGCCATATTCAGGGTGGCGGAACTCTCCCCAAAATTTCACAATGGCTTTTCTCATATGGTTTAGCCCCTTTAGGGTATTCTTCTCAGATGTGGCATATCCAGGGAGAATTTTCTAGAGAACTAAAAATTCCTAATTACAATGTTTACTTGTTTTGTTTCTGAAACAGGGTCTCGCCATGTAGCCCTGGCTGGCCTAGAACTCTTGTCTCTGCCTCCTAAGTGCCAGGATTAAAGTCTGGTGCCACCACGCAGGACTCTCAGCTGCAATGTGAAGGTTTCTAGGAGTCTCAGGCAGCAGCCACCAGTACAGGGTGCGGCAGAGAAGAGAGTAGAGGCCAGGAAGTGCCTGGAGCACACATCTCACCAAGGAGCAGAGCCTGCCGAGGCCAGGGCAACAGCAGGGTGGGCTGAGGGCTAGACCTTCAGCCCTGCTCCGCAGCTGGGCCCACAACTTTGGTTTTTGCCTCTCACCTTTTCCACAGCCTGCTTAGCTATTTATAGCCATCCTCTCTGTCTGAAAACTACTTTGACCATTTTTTTCTGAGCTGGACGGACTTGTAAACTGAAGTCAGGAGGATCCCACCTTTGTATCCAGGAGGCTTCACGATGTGGCCATACTTGGTCTGCCTGTACCCTTGCCTTGTGATGGGTTCCCAGGGCCTGTGAGACTCACAGGTGACTCATCCTCCGCCAGGTGTGTGGTGCTCCAGGGGAGGAGGCATCCATGCAGCAGCCCAGGCAGACCTCAACTCGAGGTGCTAGAAGATGGGGATCCTATAAAGCCCAGGTCACCTCAGGGTCACTCTCTGCTCTAGGAGGAATGAGCATCTGTGACAGTGGGAAAACAGCTGTACCTTTAAAGGATCTGGCCCACAGATATGAAAAACATTCGCACTCTGTGGCTGTTTGCATCTTTGGTTATTTTTAGGGTGAACCCAGTTGCCTCCCCTTGGAACCGGATGAAGCCCCAGAGGAGGCACGTAGTCCTTTTTCCCAGATGGGGGGTCCTGCTCCTGTTTCCCTGGGAATGAAGTCTTGAACATGAGCTATCTGGGGGAACCGCCCCCCAGCATTACACAATGCACTCCGCTCAGGCTCACTTGAGGGACCTGTGCACCAGGAACAGCTTTGCTACTGTTGTGAAGATCTGCTGCTGACGTCGGGCTACCCACCCGTACCCGGAGAGCCCCTGGCCACTCCCGGGGTCTGAAGGGAAGAAGCTGTGATGCAATCCCCTACCTCCACCCATCAGTCCCAGCCGATGGGAATGTCTGGCTGGCGTATTTCTAGAACAAGCAGCAATTAGAGGCGATTTTCTCTCCTGCCCCCCCTCCCCAAAACAGAAATAAATCAGTGCTACCAATCTCCCAGCTAATGATTTCCTCCATTAAATTAAAAAGAAGAAGAAAATGTTTTTTAAAATGGATTACCAGCCCTGTGCTTTCAGAGACCACATGACCTGTCAGCTTCTCTCAAGTCCGGATGCATCAAGGCCCCTCAATTAATTTTTAATAAATAAGACAATCACAGTGTAAGACTCACCACCAGCCTTCCCCTCCCCGCCCTCACACTGGCACACAGGGCTGGCCTTTGGCTGACTCAAGCCATGGAGAACTCTTTCTGTTTCACAGATGGGAAGCAAGGCAGAGGGGAGAAGCACTTAAGCACACACCCTAGGATGCTACGGAGTAGGCACAGCTGTGGGAGCATGGAGTGTGGGTTTCCAGGGGCTCCTATCTAGAACCCGGAGCTGAGGAGCCCAAGCAGGGACAGGGTGAGTTACTGCCACCTATTGTACTGATGGCAGCACTCAGTGACACGGCACACACCCTGCCTGTCTTAAAGTGTCTACTCCAACAACGTGGATGGGCCCAGAAAACCTGGTGCCAAACTCAAAAGGCCACATGTCCTATGAGCCACTCACGCGGCTTGTCCAGCAGAGGGACATCCACAGACAGCACAGTATGGGAAGGTACAGCATTTAGTAATGGGTAGAGTATCTGCTGGAAAGATAAAAATATCCTGAAAATAGGCAGAGTAATGCCACACAGCGTAGTGAATGCAGTCCATGCGCCTGACGTGTATGTGTTTACAAATGGCTAGCATGGAAAAGTTTACAATATGTGTAAAAATGTCTTGTGAAAACACAAGACAGCAGAAGGCAACTTCTCAATGCCATTTGGAAACACGGAGTGGCCAGCTACTCCACGGTGACTGCTGCAGGACCCTCGCTTACTGGGCTCCTTGTGGTGCCCAGTATCCTGGGCCAAGGTTTCCTGTTTCTCTGAGAGCTTATGACATGCCAAATGCCAGAGGGCAAGCAGGGGCTGTGAAGGCCCAGGGGACATCTTCTCAGGGAGGGACCGAGGGGCCTTTGCACTGGCCATCTCCTCTCTCTGGAACGCACTGCCCCAGATGTTACATAATTTGCTTCCTTTGTTTATTTGTGTTTTTACAGAGAGCCCTCTCTGACCATCTACAGTCAGAGAGAGGCAGGGAAGGCCACTGGGGCCAGGGAGGGGCACCATGAGCAAGGACAGGAGTCCCAGAGAGCCCAGCCTGCCCATGACAAGCAGCATCCAGCCCCGTGGCTCTTCCTGGCTGGAGGGAAGCCGTTCAGAGCTGACTGCCAAGGGCTGGCACCATCCTTAACCAGCTAGAGGGCCTTGGCAAGTTCCCTCATCCCTCTGAGGCTTGGGTTTTCTTCTACACTGTTGGGGAGTTCATAGTGCATAGCTCCCAGGCTTTTTCATGGACTACATAAATGACGCACAAATAGTGTTTAGCATATGGCAGGGCCCTAGTCAAGTCATAAATGGTAAAGACAAATGGATTATGACCATAATCTCCCCATCATGCAGGAATGTTCTTCTTAAGAGGATCAGGGCAGCCATCCCAGAAAGCTCAAGAAGGCCACCATGTAACACTAATCACTCAAGGCTGGCCAGGGGCAGGGGCCACCCTGGGCCATACGACTAAGGCTCACAACACGCAGATGAACTGATGTGATCCTTGCTCTACGTTTTACATGTGGGGAAACCAAATTCCACAGAGGTTAGTAATGTGTCCCCAAGTCACACAGGTGATGAAGCTGGATTCAAACTCTGCTCCACTCCTCCAGGCTCAAGCTGGTCAACGTTGTCCCATAGTGTATGTCAAGAGAAAGCAAGGCAGGGGGCAGGTGCAGGGGAGCCTGGAGCAGGCAGAGGCCGACCCCAACTGCTTCCCCAGCTCTGACGTGGGGATTGCATGGACCTCGGGAAGCCTTAGGGAGGGGTCTCAGTGCACGTCTCCTGGGAACCCCACAGGATGGCGGGAAAGATGGTGCATGTTGAGTCTCCCCAGGGTCAGGACTGAGAGCTCCATACTGCATTCCCCTAGGCTAGCTGCTTAGGTTAACATAGAATACAGTTGACTCCCTCAGAGCCAGGATTAGGTGCTGAGGGAAGATCTCCACACCTCTGGCTTATGAGGTCTTCAAAGACCCCGGCGACCCAGAGACATGGGGGGTCTTCAACACAGGTAGAAGATTCTATGTGCACAGCAGAAGGGAAGCTGCTTCCAACTTGGTGGGATGGTGCTAGGCTACCCTCCAAGCAAGTCTCTAGAAACACCTAGAAAACTCCCAGCTGGTGACTCACAGGCTGCTACAAACAGAACTTCTAAGTGGGTCCTGCTAACCCTCTTGCTCCAGGGGCCCACGGTGAGCAAGTTAAGATGTAGATATACAGGAAATGATGCCACTGTCTCAAAAGTCTCCCAGGACTCCCCCTTCACACTTAGAATCACATCCCAAGTCTTCACCATGACCTGAGTCCCCCAGGATGGCACTCTGCCTCTCTCTTCACTTCCTATAGCCTTTCCTCTCTTGCTCTGTTCCAGTCTCAATGTTTCTCAAACTTGCTAGGCATACTTCTACCCCAGGACAATTGCCCCTGCTGCTGCTGATTTCTGACGATCACACAACTTTCTTCCTGAGATGCCCTTTCCAACCACCCCGTCTAAAACCCCTCTCTGCTTCCTTCCTTTCCTGGCTTTCCTCCTGCATTTACACTGGTGTCTCAGTCACTGTTCTATTGCTGTGAAGGGACACCACGACCAAGGCAACCTCTAGCAGGAAGCACTGAACTGGGGTTCGCTTACAGTTTCAGAGGTGAGTCCATGATGAGCACGGTGGGGATGAGCACGGCGGGGATGAGCACGGCGGGGATGAGCACGGCGGGGATGAGCACGGCGGGGATGAGCACTGTGGGGATGAGCACTGTGGGGATGAGCACGGCGGGGATGAGCACGGCGGGGATGAGCACGGCGGGGATGAGCACTGTGGGGATGAGCACGGCGGGGATGAGCACGGCGGGGATGAGCACGGTGGGGATGAGCACGGCGGGGATGAGCACGGCGGGGATGAGCACGGCGGGATGACAGCAGTAAGCAGGCCCGAGTGGTGCTGGAGCAGTGGCTGAGAACTTACATCTTATCCACAAGTTG